ACAAGATTAAAACGTTGAGACTTAATATTCACATAAATATATATTAGGTCGCATGATGGAATGTATACATTTTTTCATCATGCTACTATTTATATTATTTTTATAACAATAAAATAATAAAAAGCGTATTAACTGTTGAGGTAAGCACTGCAAATGTCATGCATGAAAAAACATGCTTTGTTACTCAGATCTCCCTGTTTTTTGCCTCTTTGCTGTTTAGCGTTTATTCCTCATTTACAGATCCTCCTAATGACACTTCCATGCTATTAAAACCAATAAAACATTTACTCTTATTGTATTTTGTTGATTTATTACTGATATGAAAAGAATATAAAAATAGAAACTTACCTGTTTATTGTTTCCAGAACTCTTTTAGTGAATTCTGAGTCTGGGTCAAGGCAGAGCTTGCTTTTATCCTTCAGAATGACACTGCAGGAGATAAAAAAACAGGTTAATTCAAACAACATATAACTGATGCTATAGTAAGTCTATCTAATACTTTTTTTGTTTCTACAGATACTTACATTACTTCACGTTTGCTGCAGTATGGACGTGGTTTAAGCTCTCTGACATGAGCGATGAGTTTGGGCCTCACTGCTTCGACTGTCTTCACACAGTGGCAGTTCTTAATGCCTGGGGGAACAATGATGGAATATATTAAGAATGGATATATTCATGAAATAATAATATTAATTCAAAACCTCACTTACTTGCTGAGGTGCATATGGAGATGCAGGCCAGAAGAACGATGAACTGGATCGCAGAATTCATCCTTGTTGTGTGGTTATTATTAGTAGAGTTTATCATGCAGTGATGCAGCTCCTCTTGATGTGAAATGTTCTTCACTCCTGAGGCTGTCTGACTGTGAAGCGCCATGAGCCTCACCTTTTATACACTTTATTTGATCACTTGCCAAGTAAGACTTCTTAGGAACTGAACGAAAAAAAAAAACGACATTATCTTTAACACTTTCACTTCCTCAGTACCTTTTCTCATCAAGACGTGACAGCTTCATATGCGTCACAAACAGGCTTTTTGTGTCGAAACTCAGTTGCCCCCAAGGCAGTTACCTTGCTGCTGGTATCAGGTTAAAACTATCAGAGCAGCATCTACTGGTTAGATTGACTATAACTCTCTCAGTCGTCACAGTGCAGGTCGGAAATATGTTTTTGGCACTAATCCTGCATTGCAAACATGCATTTAGTGTTAAAACACATGCATTTGATTTCATAGTTACATGAAGTTGAGGATTTATGTTTAACAAGGCAGACATACAGACAGAAATATACATTCAATAAACAAAATTATCTGTAGAATTCAATAATTCATGCAATGCAAAAGTGCACATGAACATTGAGGAAGAAGGAAAATATATATGATTTCTAAAATCTTTAAAAAAGGAAACCTGGTTTAGAGCGAAGTATAGTTCTGTGTTAGATCCATTGACGGTCCAAGCCTCCACGGGGCCTTGAGTAAAATTAGATATTGGGGTACTACGTTTTCTACCAATGATATCCATTGCATTAATTAAAATTCTGATCATAAGAATATTCACAAACCTATGTTAAACTCATTGCAGCTCTGACATTCCTATTTACAGTCTTCTATGTGCATGCTAAAATTGATGAATATAACCTTGTATGAAGTTTATTTATAGTAAAGTTTCACATGGTTCATATTTGTTGGTTCAAATGCAACGTGTAAAGATAAGCTGGAGGGGAAAGATAAACAAATAAAATGGCTGTAATAAATAAAAATGAAATGAATACAAGAACAGATATAATAATTTTCACATTATTTCTACATGAATAGACATGCTAAAGTAAAAACTGCATAATTTTATAATGAAATTGTATTTTTGTACTATAATTATATACAAATTGTTATACAATTTATACATACATACAAAAAAAGATAAATTATTCTTTGGGCCCTAAGAAGTTGCTTAATTCACTTATGCCTTGGTTTGGACCTGGTTAGAAGGGTTTACTCAGAATTCATAATAAAAAGCAATTTAGATAACTTGTAGACTACTACACTAGGCTAGCTAGCAAAGACTACAACACAAAAGTTCTAGATTAAAGGTAAAATAAGGGGGATGGATGAACAGGAAGTGGGGTTTAGGTAATCTGGGGACACTTTCTTTCTATACACTTTCTAGACACTTTCTATATAGGAAATGGCTTATTCCCGAGCCCACTCAGGACCTCCAAGTTGGCAACTGCAAAAAAACAAACAAGAAGAGGACAAAAATTAGGAAGGAGGAGAAGCATCAGATAAGAAATGTGGTCATAAATAGTTCATGGCGGTTAAATACAAATACAAACTCCACATTCATAAGAGGTTTTCAAATTTTTGCATCATTTTCATTACAACAAGCAACTGTTAGGATAATTATCATTGATGAAGTGTGAGTTTATTACAGCCCAATATTACCTGCCTGTCATGTGTCAAAACTGATGTTTTCCCCATTACTTTTGTGGCTCTATCAACAAAAATACAAATCCTATAAAAGTCTAGAGAGCATGAAATATAAGTAAAGTAGATTGAGCTTGAATTTTTGTTTTCTGTTTTAGTTCATTACCACTGTAGATACAGGCTATCTGCTTCTCTACCGCACATTCTCTGGTTAAATAGTTCACAGAGGGGAAACACACAATGCAACCCCCCATTGGCTCCCTCTCATCTTTACTGCTGCTTGATGACAGATCCTCATGGTGGGTTGTTGCATTATATCAACAAATCAGTCTGGTTTCCGGTTCACCATAAACGATTACAATCCTGGATCAAATCCAAGTCTTTTTGTCTGTAAACCGAGCTGAACTCTGTTTGTGGTTTACATGCATCACTCTGACTCAGGGATACTGGCACCCTGCCAGCTGATGACTCAAGATTTATTCCACACCTGGAAAAAAGGAGACCTTAAACGTTCATTTCCAAGGGAAACTATCTATATATAGAAAGATTGGAAAACATCTAAGCAATAAGCTTATGTAGCCAGCATTATTGCATGTGATGGTCACATGGTCAGTTACCCCACACAGAAGCACTTTAACACACAGTAGCATAAAGGTATTGGTTTGTTTATTTTGACAATATTAGAAGACATTAGTTCCAATTGACATACAGTTCCAATTGTAGCGCGCACATATGGTTAACGTTTGTATATTTCATTTTGCCAAATGCTTAATATATTTTGCGCTTCCTTTTCAGGTGTGGTGGGAGTGCCGTCAACTGTGAGAATGTGGCTGACATACCAATGGACTGAAGATTGGGTGGTACCATCTGGAGTTCCACTATGGCGGAAGACCATGGACTCCATATTTTTAATATGTTGCATAATATCTTCTTTTGCTTTTGTGATTTGCTCATTTTGTTAATTTTGTTTAATGATTATCATTTAAGTTTAATCCTTAAGCTAACTATTTAGTTATTTTTGTTAAAGTTGTGTAGATGTTCTCCCTACTTCTTCCTCAGTGTGTCAGTCTGGTCTGATCAGCCAGTATTTAAGTCCCCTTTGTTTACTGTGTCTCAGGTCAGGTTTGTTTGTTCATTTAGTTTGAAGTTTGATATGTTTGATCTTGATATTTTTTGCCCTTAGTCTCTTCATTTGACCTATTTTAAAGGCCCTGTAATCTTTGTTTGGATTATTGTTACTTTGGGGAAATGAAACCCAGTTTTTCTTGACAATCACCACTGTGTCTTTATGCCCGGCGGCTGGCTCAGTCCCTCACATTACCCCATTAAATCTTATAGATAGCTTGCTGTGCAGCCTATCCTATTTGGCTTGTTTTTGTTTAATTTATTAAACAGAGCTGTTAATCACTCATTTGTTCTTTGCAAAGGACTCCAATGAGCACAAATGTCCCCACAAGTATTAAACGTCATCAACAAATAATTAGCTCTCGGCCTGAAACCAACTTTAGGAACAAAATTATTCAGTGAATTTTTCAATAAAGCTGAGATATCACAGCCAGTGTAAAGCACAAAACTGCCTGCCATATTGGATAGCATTATATGATTGTTCCATAAAAGTCTCTGCTACCACTTTTGATTTACTTATTATTCACTATCTTCCCTGTGATCAGCTGGCTCATTTAAAAACACAAGACAATGATGTGGTGCTTTGCTTTGACGATCCGTGGTTGAATGTGAGTATGTATAGAGACAAACCTGACATTTGGTTCACAGTTGGGATTTATCAAGAAAATTTGCTTGTTTTTGTGCTTTTGCATGTTTTGGTAAATGTGAAATATCTTTATGCCATTTTTACATTTTTTGCCATAGATTTGTCAATCTTTGATAAAGAGACCCAAGAATCGCTGGTATATAGTTTGACGCTAAGTCTTCTCTCTATTGTTTTTATATAAATCATTAACTAGGCCTATCAGAGGAAGCTGTCTCTATAGTTAAGAACATATAAACAGATTTGTTTCAAAGAGGTAGGCTGTGGTACAGTGACAATGCTATGAGCTTCATCTTAGCCTGTGAATGGGATAGGATACTTAAAATCCTTTATTGACATGAATAAAAAAACAAGTAAAAATAAAAACTAAGTGACTTGAGCACCCAGACTTAAATTTTATTTGCTTTTATTGGCAGCAAGTAGCAGTAAAGTACAGCTCGGTTTAACACAGGAACTCTGTCTTTTTCAGAAACGTAAGCACATATATTTAATAAAAAAAATGTCATGGAAATTGTATTTACAGCCTTCAAAATATATCAAAATAATGATATGAGAACAAAGTTATTTTACTTATAAATAAGATCCTTCAAAAGCATTCCTCAGCATTTATGGGTAAAAAAAAAAAAAACTATAAACCTACGTCTTTTAAAAATCTCAGTTTGCAGATGAACTGTTGATTCAGTCTTACCAAAATTTCTCAAACCTGTCATTGTGTGAAATTGATCTTATGTTAGTAGCTGGTGGTGCAAGCAATGTTTTATAAAAGGTAAAAATAAAACAACAAACACACAAAAAAAAATTATATACTGCAGCTTTAGTGCCTCTGTTTGGTGATGGTTGATGATTTTGCTCCTGATGTGGTTGATGATGTTGCTCCTGAGGTGGTGGTTGCTGCAGTGGATTTCATTGAGTGTGTTTTGAGATGTGCCTCGAACCTGTCAAGAAAAAGGACCACGGGTAAACATTTTTTAGCCAATGAAAATTTTCCACAATTTTAAAACTGATATGTTTAGATTAAAGTCTAACATAAATAAAGCTGCTATCTTCTTTAGGCTTTTGCTATTGCTGGTGGCAGATTTTGTTTTCTTACTCCAATAGATGTGATGACGTGACTGCTGTTTAGTGTAATACAGCAACTGCAGCCACAACTAATTACCTGTTAATTTTTTTATATAAAACTTGATGAGGAATAGTTTTTTTTAAATTACTTTTTCACTTACCGTTTTTTTGCTTGCAGGAGATTTTTGGCATACTTTGTCCCAGGAATAATACACTGCTCAGACTTATCTTCCAAGACGACTCTGTAATAGAATAATATTAATTAAATTATCCATGATAATTCTGAACATTTTTGTCTTCTGCTTTTGCCGGTACTTACATCACTTCATGGTGTTTGCAGTATGGACGAGGTTTATACTCTTTGACATCAACAATAAGATTACGCTTTACAGCTTGGACTGGAGTTCCTAAACATCTGCATTTCAGAATTTCTGAGTAAAATACAATGATGGGGAAATTTAAAAAAGAAGATAACGCAGAATTGAGAAAAAAATTCTTGCATTATGTATACATATTTTTTACAAAGTTTTTAATCCAAGTATTCAAAAGAAAAAAATCTTTCTATGATATACCGGTACTTACTTGAGTCGCAGATGGTGAAGGTGATGCAGACCAGAAGAATGATGCATTGAAATAAAGGATTCATGTTTGTCTTAAATTGTTATAATTAAGTTTTGGTTGTGATTGTCTCCACTTCAAGATCTCCTTTCTCTGTGAGTGTTCCTGCCTGACTGTGGAAAGCCACCATCTTCACCCTTTATACTCTCACAGTTGCTTCATATGTATTCTTAAGAACTGATAAAAAAAAGGAAATAATGAGTCCTCTTCTACTTTCACTTTCCCCATACTGCAATCTGCTTTCCTCTGAATCTAGAAGAATTCCCAACATCCTTTTATGAACTTCCTATCATGAAGGGAGTAAACTGATGTAAGGCTGTTGGTATTGGAGTGAATTCAATGTGCTCTCTACGTTTATGCTGGTAAAGAATCACTGACTTCTGTAGAGCTAGACCTGCTCTTTCTATGTCTTAAAAGTCAGCAACTCATCACAGCAATTAATAAAGGAAAGTGTAATGAGAAACAATTACACATGTCTAATTTAGAGCCCCTTATTGAATGAACTAGTATGATTTTGTTCACTGCAGTAGGAAAGATGAGTGGAGTAATCCAATGTTCAGAGGTAGTAGTCTGCATACTTTTATCATTCTGTAATTTTGAACCCAGAGTTAGGAGATGTACAGTCCCCAAGTAATGTCTATGCCATGTGCTTGTTTTGCCCAGCCGCTGAACCAGGTAAGTCCAATTTATGAAATTTAATTTACTGTGCAGATTTGATTCACTCGATTGGTTGCAGTGTTTCCAGTGCCCCTCTCCAGCAGTCTATGGGCATAAGGCACCTTGGACAGGTCACCAGTCTGTTGCAGGGCAAACATGCACACAAACACAATTTAGAGAAGCCTAACAGTCATGTTTTTGGTCTGTGAGAGGAAACCGAAGTACCTGCAGAAAACCAAAGCATGAACAGGGACAACATGCATGGCCAGGCCAGGAATCCAACCCAGAACCTTCTTGTTGCAAGGCAACTGCGCTACCTGCTGTACCACTGTTCACTGTTCCATTATGCACCTTAGGAAAACAGTGTGTAAAAAATGTATTGTGGAAAAAAAAGATTGGCTTGATTTTTTTTCAGACTATCCAGCTTTAAAAGCAGAGATATTAGGAATCTTTCAGCATAATGTTCACCACTAAACCCACGACAATGAAGACTGAGATAGAAATCTTTCATTGCAAAAAGATGAGGGTTTGGAGATATCTAGCACCTTTCTGGGAATGTGTTGCAATCAAATTCAGCTGGGAACCTCTAAATACTTAGACTTTTTTTTTTTTTTTATTGCCTTCCCATGATAATCAGTGAGATAACAGCTTGAGAAAATCAGATGTCTGGGCTGCTGACTGTCTCAGAGAGTCAGCGAGATACTGGATCCATTTGTTATTCTTGGATGACATTAAGTTCAACAGAAAGCCAGCCAAGGGGAAGAACTGCCTAGAAGAATGTAATCCCTCATTATCCTCCCCTCAGTCATAATGGTTAATTGCAGTTTGGACCTGCCCTAATTTGTAGTGAAGCAAAACGAAACAGAGATGGACATGCACAAATCAGACCAAATCATGGTGGTGTAGAAGATGACCACCAGCTTCCGTGGGAGATTATACTATTACCGGTAAGTTGTATGTACAGTCTCTGCTGTGCCTTAGTCTTCACAGGGTTTATATTAGAGAACTGCCCTATGTTACTTACTCGATGTAGCAGGTTTTTTTAGGAACAGGAAATGATCCACAGCAGATGTAATGTTTTAGTATTTTTTCCACTCTGACTTGTTTTATTTGGGTAATGAAAAGAAAAAGAATCTACTTGACTTTTACATGACTTTTACACATTATCCACTAGAATAAGTGTGCAAAGGTGGATGGGACTTTGAGGAGCTAAATTGTTTAAGTTGCCCTTGGTGGATCTAATTTTCTTATACACATTTGAAAACGTATAAACCTGAATGAGCAAAGATCAAATGTGGGGTTCCTCAAGGCTCCGTATTCGGGCCACTGAATATCTACACACCAATTATAAAGATCAGCATGTTTTATCCTGCTTATGTTATTGACAATGGAGAAGCTAAAGAAGCGAAATTGTTAAGGACTGAATGTAAAATGAGGTCTCTAAATAAATCAAACTTTTAGTAACACCAACAATCAATCAAATTTCAACTTTTAACTACCTGAGGGTTTTAGCCTTTAATTTTATTTTACCAATTGTTATTGCTATGTATGAAAATCTAAATACCAACTCACTCAATGTATTTGGTTTTGTGAAAAAAATGGTAATATCTTGTGTTTTAGGGGTGTTAGGTAAATACTTCTGCAAGCCTTGAGGAGGTTAGCTAGTAAGAGCTACTTAGCAATAAAAGTTTACATGATCCAAAGAGCTTAATAAATTCTATACTGTTTCCCAAATTTACAGTTACTCTTCCCAGATCAGACACTGATGGCACTGTGAGCTGAACAGGACACAACAGCATACAGAGAGGCTCCCTGCCATCTGCCCAGTCGGATGGCAGGGCTTCCTCTCAGCACCACATAATGACTCTGGACTCTGACAATAAGCTGGAAGGCAAACACCAGAAACACCAGAGCCCAAAAACAAAACCATCAACAGGAAAAGAAGCAAGATATTAGCAACAATGCGGCCCGATCGGTACAAGAAAACAACAAAGGAGGTGAAGCAGGTGGAAAGAAATGAGAATGGGATTGAGGAGAGGCAAGAACCTGAGGGATGGCAAGCAAACACAAATGAAACAGAACAGGACAGGAAAGAGCTATGCTTCTTTCTAACGTTATTTCAATGGAAATTTTGTTTCATGTTTTTTTGTGTGGTTATATTAATTTCATTATAACCATTCTAGATAGCAGCCTTTCTCCTGATTGTTAAGATTGTTTCTTGACAAAGTCTAGTTGAGGTAGCAGTGTTTCAATTCACTTGCTTTAACCCTTACAGTTTTCTTTTTTATGAGTTGTTTTAGATCTTAATAACGGCACTGTAGTTTTCATCAACTATGAAGAAATTATTTAGTTGACGCTTCTTTTTTTCATGATGATAACGAAAACTGACGAACTAAACATGGATCTTTGATGACTAAAACATGACTAGTCATAGGTTTGAGTTTTTGTCAACGAAACGAGACTAAATAAAAATTAGCAGACGGTAATCATTGTGCTGTAATCTGTTAGACAAGCTAAGCAGTATCAGCCGTGCAGCTGCGCCTTGTTTGGTCACACTGCCCACCTGGCGTGCAGGAGTGCACATTCTGCATGACCACAGATGGATGAAGGCAGCAGCGGCAGAGGAGAAAATTTGCCAGAATCCAGTTCTGCGCGCTGAACTCTGGCAAACTCTGATCTGATCTTCCATCTGTGCTTGTGCAGAAATGCGTCTTTGCAGCTCAGAGTCTGCGCTTTATGCTCCACACTGGTTTATTCTCACCAGTCTCTTCCTGCCTTGCTGCTAACTATGTAGCTGATCATCCTCTGCCAAGCATAAAAAGGTAAATTTCTCTCTCATTGTTCTAGTTTCTATCTATTTAAATATGATGGAAATATTTCCTTCTATTGTCATTAAAACATTTTCTATGTTTCCTACGTATTATATTTTCAACATTTTAGTTAGCATATTCATTAAATTTAGGTCTTGATTGCCATGGCATTTAAAGGCAATTATATAGTTTATCTCTGTATTTATTTAATATATAATATTACCCTGAATATTAATGAATCTACTTTGACCTCTGGGCAGTGGTAACAAAGGAGGAAATTGTCAGAAATCAAACCAAAATTGCCAAAGAAGAAAGAAGAATGTTTTTGTTTTTTGCTTCTTTGGAGCAATGAAGATTTTATTGATCTGTATCTACAGTAATGCATAATTCATAGTAGATCAAGGAATTGTTTGCTTTTTAAATGAAACCTTGTATGTCTAAAACCATTCCTTTATTGGACATTTTGTTAGCTTGTCTGTCTGCTATATTAACCAATATGATGTGCCGAACTAGACCAGCTATTTTCACAGCTTTTGTGAGACACTTTTTTTTTTTTTTTTATAAAATAAGGCATTAATTCATGAATTATATATGGAAGGGGTGGTAAGCAAAAAAGAGGGGATAAGATGTAAGGGGAAAGAGTGCATGAAAAGAGAGAAAATAAAACAAAACAGCAAAAATAGACAACACAGTCAACCAAAGTAAACATCAAACAAAGCTTGACAAGCAGCAGGTATACCTTAGATATCCATTTGTGCAAAATATTCTCATTATCAGTTCGTATGAAATCGTACGAAAAGTTATGCACACTATTTTGTACGTTTTGGACGTTTTTCCTCAAAAAAAAACATCAGTGCGCATGCGCTGGCAGACAGAAAAAAAAAGCAGATCCGCGGACGGACGGAAAAGTGCAATCATCACTTATTCATCTCTCTAACTACATTGCTTGCTGTTTTATATCTTAGGGTTAGGGTCAGGGTTAGGGCTAATTGTAATTTATATTCTATATTCTATATTCGTGAATGGTGTGTCAGATGCGCATACGAAGAAAAAAACGTCCAAAACGTACAAAATTACGGTGCAGAACTTTTCGTACGATTTCATACGAACTCATAATGAGAATACACTGATTTGTGTGGAAGACAAAACCTTTGGTAATTACACAATATTATTCAGGGTAAGTTATCTGTATCTGAAGCTTAGTATTTAGTATTAGTGTGTATCTTTGAGCACCTGGAACAAAATTCCCACTGTATGTATGCATAGGCATTTTCGTGTATGAAGGATTTACAAAGCTTCTTTAGAAAAAATCACATGCAGTGTGACTTGCCCTCCATGGCCGCAGGATTGATCAAGACGAGACGTGAGCCCCAAATTTCCAAAGGCACTCACCAGTGCAGGGCATATGAGAGCACCCAGAGTCCAACTGCTGAGGGGCCAAGCCCCAAAGAGCCTGACCTCAGGGGCCATAGGGCTGAGTTCCCACACAGCCAGAGCAGCGAGCCCATGGGCTCCTACAGTGGACGGTCATGCCTACGGGTCAGTGGTCCAGGGGCGAAACAATCATCATTGGGGACCCCACTGGGCAAGGAGGCCAATGGCCTGGCCTGGCAGTCAGAAGGAATGAGACAGCGC